CTGCGCCGCGGCCGCCAGAAGCCGCGCAGCCCCGAGGGCTGGGGGCTGCTGCTGGCGCTCTGGTACTTGGCCTTCTACAAACCCGTCATCACCGAGAGCCACCTGAGGAGGAAGAACATGGAGTTCATCTTCATCCGCTTCAGCGCCTGGCAATACGCCGGCTGCGACAAGCTCTGGGCCGGTTTGGTCACCACCCTCTGCGACCACATCCGCCACCATTTTGGGGCTTTGCCCCTCAGCGTTTACCACGTCATGGGCACCCGGCCTCGCTTCGCCTCCGGCTTCAGCCAGAAGGAGTGGGTGCTCAAGAGGGGCGCCTGCCTCAAGCTCTGGGGGCTGCTCTTCGTCCTGGCCGCCGGCGTCACCATCCTGCTGGTGGCCCTCTTGGTGCCGGGCATCAAGGACCACCACGCTTTGAAGGTGGTGGGTAGCGCCGTCACCTCCCTCTCCGGTTCCAGTTTGGTGTTGGGAGCTTTTTCCGTCTTGAAGAACCTGTTGGTCAGCGAGAAGCAGAAGATCGAACGGTTGACCAACAGCGAGAGGTTCGCCAACCAGCTGGGCTTCATGAGCAAAGTCCGGAGAGAAGTGGAGGTGCTGGTTGACTTCTTGGCCTTCATGGAGATCTTTGAGCGCCGCCGGCTCCGCGTGGTGCTGGAAATCACCAGCCTGGATATCTGCTACCCGGAGAAGGTGGCCGGCGTCCTCAACGCCATGAACACCTTGCTCTCCGAAGCCAACACCCCCTTCATCTTCATCCTGGCCGTGGACCCCAGCGTCATCGTCCCCTGCCTGGAGCAGACCAGCTGCATGAAGGGTCTCGCCGACAACGGTTACCTCTACCTCAACCGGACGGTGACGCTGCCCTTCTCCATCCCCGAGATGGGCGCCCGCTCCCGCCTCCAGTGCCTGGAAGCCGCCGTCCAGACGCGGGAGGACCTCATGTACCGCATCATCACCGGCAACGTGGAACGCCGCCGAGCCAAGTGCCAGGCCGGCCCGGCGCCTCCCGGTCGGCAACAGGCGGACGCCGAAGCCGTCCGTTGCATCCACGAAGCTTTCCGTTGCCTCCACGACGGCGCCGACCCCCTCGCCCGTTACCTCCCCGCCAACGGCGCCCACGTCCGCCGCATCGTCAACACCATCCCCATCACCCTCCGGCTCCTCCTGCACCGCGCCGACGCTCCCGGCGACCCCTCGCCCCGCGCCGCCGCCGCTTGGGTGGTGTTGGCCGATCGGTGGCCGTGCCGGTTGAGCTGGGCTTTGCAATGCCTGGAGGACGCTTGGCAGAATCGGCCGGGGCCGGGTTTCGGCGGGGGGTTCCTTGGGGGGGCTTT